ATTTCAAGTCAATGTTTTATATTTTGCACTAGTTATAGATTTTGCTTTGAAAAATTTTTTACTTCAGCTTTTGTACCCTCATTTTATTGAGGCACTCTGCTTGCTTTTTTTTTTTTTTTTTTTTTCTGAAATTATTCATTAATGAAATGTTTTGTTTATAAACAAAAGGGATGAAAAATAATTTCTTTTTGCTTGGACACATAGACACAAGCATTTCATTATTTTTTACCCTTTGATTGTTGGTCTTATGTCAAATGATCTAGGAAGATTTGTCTGTTTCGATCAATGATCTTTTCCATGTAGGTTTGGCGTTTGCAGCAAAAATGATTCTGAATATAACTCTTTTTGTGGTTCTGGTAACTCTTGAACCTTGTTTCTTTTATTAGTTTTGAAACATAGACGTTAGTGTTCTAGAACACTCTTTGAGAGAGCATGCAACAAATTTAATAGACGCAATCTGTTGGAGCAAAGCAAAAGCTGAGAAAAAAGATAAATGAGAAGTAAGATTTTTCATTGCATTTTACTAACTACAAATGTTCATTTAACATGTATGATTTGAAATCTTGTTGGAATCTTGATCCAGCAACACAACCTAATACTACAAATGTAACCTAAATTGCAGAAAACTATAACCCTTGTATGAAAGCCACTTCAAGAAAGGAACTACTTTAGCCTATCTCAAAATTTGCCTACACATTCCATTTCCTACTGTCCTCCTCACCTTTGATTTCAACAACAGCTCGTAAAAACTCTTATAAAGGCAAATCACCACCTCGACTTTAAGCTTTCCATTTTCCCTAGGAATAAGATTTGCCTTGAAAAATTTCTTGATTTGGAACAGCATATAGTTCCAAAGTTGCTTCACAAGAAATAAGAATAGCCAATTAACATGATTGTCTTCTTCATGCTTTACAACATTAGTAAAGGTTGACATTTCTCCACATTTTGTACATTTAACAGGTTATGCCCTTTCCTATGGTTTATCTAGCTTGTTAAAGAATGTCTAAAACTCATCCAGCTTCCTCTTACTCAAAGGCAAAGTCATGTTATATGCCTCAGTACAAGATGAACAACTAACTCAACCAGCAATACCATTTACTCTAAGGGATGCTAACTCCTTAAGACTATATGCCACTCCTTTTGCCTTCTCCCAAATATAAACCCCATAAATCATACCAAGGACATGATGGACTTCATCCTCATCTTGGTCATCAAATTTTTCAGAATTTGGTACCTAAGCTTGTTTAGCAACATGAATTAACAAAGGATGGTTCTCCTTCACAACACATTTGGCAAGTTGATTTTTCAGGACTATATTATCTGATTTATGTAGAGTGTCCTGAGGGAATTGGTACACCTACATTGTGGGTTGATTTTCATGTTCTTGAAGTAGACTCTCTAGAGACTTAATGTATTCATTTAGAATGTCTTGAGGAGGTTTGTATATCTGCACATTGTCTTCTTCTTCATCTTCTTGTAGAAGACTTTCCACAAACTGAATGCCCAATTCATTTAGAGGGTCTTGATCTTCATTTTCTTGGAATAAGCTCTCAAGAAACATGATGTTCGATTCATATACATCTATAATCAATACTGAGTCTACATTATCCACTAATGCTTTTGATTGGCCTTAGAACTGTAGTAGTTTCGATGGCAAATCAAGTTTTAATTCTGAGGTTTGGTTGGGCCCTGGGTTTTGGTTCATGGCATTGTCCATCGAAAATTGTCCAACAAGCATTGGCAAATCAAGCCCCAACTTTGGGCTTTGATTCGGCCATGGATCTTGGTTCACGGCATGCTGCACCAATAACTGGCCAATTAGTTACGTGAAATCCATCACCAGCCCTGAGTTTTGGTATTGCCTTGGGTCTTGGTTCACAGAATTTTTCATCGCAAACTATCTAATAGGCGATGGAAAAATCAAGCCCTAACTCTAAGCTCTGGTTCGGCCTCGGGCTTGGTTCACAACATTTTCCATTGGCAACTATCCAATAGGTGGTGGCAAATCAAGCATTGATTCCAAGTTTTGCTTGAAAGATTGGAAAAAAATCTTCATCCATGGCCTTATTGTTGAGGAACAAAAAATCATCTTCATCCATGGAGAAATTAATAGGAAATCAGGGTTTCAAGATTCAATGAAAGAGACATAGCAGAAAGAGAGGTTAAAAGAACTTGAAATCAAAGGCAATTAGATTTATGGGAACGAGTACCACCTAGAAATAATAAACTCACCCAATGGACGGGTACAAACCTGTGCTTTGTTGGGTGGTGAGCCCAATAAGTGAGCCCAATTTATGTCGACTTTCAATCCAAGGCCCAAGAACCAAAAAAAACCATGCAGTAGGATTAAGCATCGGGTATAGGTATATCTGATATCTATAGCTACCTAACCTGTTTAGATAAGTATTTTACTTGTATCTATGAAGAGACAATTAACTACCAAGTATGAAAAATTCATGTTTGTTAAGTATCAGATAAGTATTGGGTATAAGGGTCAATTTTTGTATATATGATCCATATGCTTGACTTGTATATTTGACTTATATTATAGTTTTATATACTTAATTTATAATATAATGTTATGAAATTAAAATGTTTATGTTTTTTTTCTTCTTTTCTTCTAGTAGTGAAGATTTAACTAAAAAAAAATCACGTGGATTTTTATTTGTATTTTTTTGTTATTGTATATATAAACTTATGTATGTGTGAGTGTATATACCCATATATTTTGTTTTATATATAAACTTGTATTATATGTATGAACTTATAGTTGTATATTAATTTATATATTTTCAATGTAAAATTTAACAAGAATATAAATATATTTGTGGATATAACTATACCTAACAAATTAGATAACGGAATATAAAATTTTAGAGGAATGCTAAATGCAGTCGCTTTTTTCTGCACTCTCTTAACACTCTCTTATGTAAAATAGCCACGTGAACTTTTTGACTGCAAACTTTGAATTGCGAGCCAAATATTACTACGTGGCGATTTTTTATGAGAGAGTGTTGGAGAGTGCAAGAGAAGGGCGACTGCACGTAGTAGTCCTCAAAATTTTAATATCTAGATAATTATTAAGTATTAAAATCTTGTACTTATCACTGTTAAAGTCAAGTACAATTATGAATAAATACTTGATCCCTACCGTGCATGGACAACCTCCAAAAACCGAAAATGGCCTAAGTTTTTCATAGGCCTTTTTTGCGCTTTTTCTATAATTTTTTCTTTTTATTTTTTCCCACCCCCCGAATCCAACTTTTCATTTCCTGTCCGTATTTTTTCCCCGCTTTGTTCCAAAAATGAATATACACTTATTTATATATTTTTACTTTTTTATTTCATAAATTAAGAAGTTCTAGACCACTTATGTTTTTAGTTATATTATCGTACTAAAAAGAAAAAAAAGACAACTAGTAGAAATTTTTGGCATAACATGATAATTAAACTTAAACCATAACAATAGAGATACAGGGGTTTTGCGATATAATAATTTAAAAGTAATAGTTAGAATTTTCAATTAATTTAATAATTAAAAACGTTTAAATTATTAATAATTACTATTAACCGTCAAATTAGATGAAAACATTATCTATTAATTTTAGACTATTATACCACATACCCCTAAAATGAAAAGATATTTGTTCAAATGGTGATAGATAGCTTAGTTGGTAACGCAACTTCGTTTTTCCTTTGCCGATGAGGATTCAATTGTTTAGAAAAACTAATAAGAAGTTAAAAATAATAGAAAAATATTTAGTCGAGTTTGATTGTTATCATCAAATAATTTGTTAAAGCCACTAAAAGTGTAAGTTTTTTTTGTTATAACTACTATTTTACTCTTTTCTTCAATTTCCTTGTAATTTTTGTACTTTAATAAAAAAAATAAAATAATAATTAAAAAAAACTTAAATTTTTAATGATTTTAATTTAACAAATTGACTGGGGAGAATAACTAATCCTATTCACCGGTCATAAGATGACCTTGGAATAATCAAGGAATCAGAGCTAATACAAGACTGAAGTCATACCAACTCGCTATACGTGCAAGCCAGTTGCTGTTTTCGATTTTAGAGAACTGGTAAGTATGGAAGTATTTGCCGGTTTGCGCCCAAAATTAACCAAAAACTGGCCGTAACCATGCCTAGAAACAAAATGAAATCAGACAACCAAAGGGAACACGAAAGAAACAAGCTGTCACAAATGAAGCCCCTTGGTGACCCCGAGTGGTCCAATCTGTCTGTCTGTGATAGGCACTCCGTCCTGAGTTTGAAGCTATAGCCAATCCAACTCTCAAGTTGGGTTGTAAGCTGTTGCCTCTGCTAGGAAAAGTGCGGCAAAAATGGGGCCAATTGGCCAAAGATACAGCATAGGGATGTAGGAAACACAATCTGTTTTGTGCATTTTTCTTGTATCTTAAGATACTAAACAAACAGCAGATTGTGAAAGAACCACCTATCTCTTCCGTCCCCTGTTCCTCTACAACCCAACACCCACAGTCCCTTTTCACCTCTGTCTAACCTACGCCTCTCTCCTTATATCATTTCCCAATTCCCACCTCTTATCCTGCGCACCCTTTCACATCCCTTATGGTTTGATCACCTCTTTGTCAGGACAGATATAAAGATTACACCTTTGGATTCAAAGTGATAGCCAAGCCAATTTGGGATATTGGGTGAGAGAGAACTGGGTTAAGATTTTGGGTTTTGGGTTTTTTAGATGAGGGATGTCTGATATATATAGTTAGAAAGATTCCACCTTTTGGGTTTTTGGATTGGGATTTTCTAGCGGTCTCTGTCGAAAGTGATCGTCTTTTTTTAATTTCTTGATTCATACTGATCTGGACGGTGGAGAAGACGTCTGGGTCTAGAATTTGGGTTTTGGGTCTTTCAAAGAGAGATGTCTGATGCTTCAGGCATTGATGAATATGCTTTCACTCTGCTGGAAGCCATTCAGGCATGAGGGCGTGACGTCCGGGGAGAATTGCGTGCTTGGTGGCGGTGGTGCGATAGAGGGCAAAGATGGGTTGCTTTGGTTTCGTGATATAGGGAAATATGGGTCGGGGGATTTTTCCATGGCCGTGGTTCAAGCTAACAAGGTGCTAGAAGACCAGAGCCAGATCGAGTCTGGGCCGTTTGGGACCTTCGTCGGGGTCTATGATGGGCATGGTGGACCCGACGCTGCCCGCTATGTTTGCGATTACTTGTTCAGGCACTTTCAAGGTTCGTAACTTTCGGGTTGTGGAGGAATTTTCAAGACCCCTCTCTCTTTCTCCCTCTAGGAATTTCTGATTTTGATTTGGTGTCGTTTCTGAGTTTTACTTTGGTTATATGGATATTTGATTGGGTAATGTGAACCAGTAAGTTTTTTTGATTGGGTGCCTTTATGAGTTTGGAACTACAGTATCTTTTTCAGTGGCATTGAAGTAAGGCAACCAGATATTGGGAACTGCCTGATACTTCCCCAGTAGATAAACATCATTGTCATTTTTGGTTTCAAATAGAGCCACATGTAGGTTTTCTCTTGATACTTTTTGGATAGTTCCCATCTTGCCTTTAGGAGTAAAGATGAAATTACTTGAGTGGAATACTTGACATTGGAAACCTGATAAGTGATGTCTGAAAGCTCTATCCCAATCCCAAATACTTGATACTGCTTAAATGGAGTATAGTCTTTCAGTGATATAAATGCTAGAAGAACATTATGTTCCATTGTAAAATTATGGGTTTTTACTTGTGTGCTTTTGCCTGTTGCATCCTTCATTGCTTGTTTAACTTGTATGGAAGGAGCCTTTCTTATGTTGCCATTCTTAGGCCTGGTGTTTGTGCAGAAGTATCAGCTGAGTCCCAGGGAGTTGTGACCACTGAGACCATCCAAAGAGCTTTTGGTCAAACAGAAGAAGGGTTTACTGCCCTTGTGTCAGAGTTATGGAGCACTCAACCACATATTGCAACAATGGGGTCATGTTGTCTAGTCGGAGTGATATTTAAGCAAACGCTCTTTATTGCGAACCTTGGAGATTCCCGTGTTGTGTTGGGAAAGAAAGTTGGCAATACTGGAGGAATTGCTGCCATTCAGTTGTCAACAGAACATAATGCAAACAATGAGGCCACACAACAGGAACTCAGGGAATTACACCCCAATGATTCTGGAATTGTTGTTCTTAAGCATGGAGTGTGGAGGGTAAAGGGCATTATTCAGGTGTTTTCTATGTTCCCATCCAATTTTCAGAATTTATCATATAAAAGCATGCATGAAGTCTTATACCGCTTGGAATAGATGCTTATTAACATGGTGGCACTAGTCGGAATGTAATATTCTGTCATTAATTTTTTCATGCAAGTTACCCCTAACCCCCTGTTTGTTATATCTTGTCAAACTCCTTTCAGCCGAAAACAGTCTAAAAAGTATTTGTTTCCTAATTAGTCTTTTTTAAAGATGCTAATGATTGTAGGATTTGGCCTGAGGTTAGCACCAATTAGAAACTATTTCTGGCTACAACTTAGTGATGAAGGTATAAATTATAGAAGGATGTGCAGTCTTCCACATGATAGACTTTGGTGATAACAGTTTATCTCTTGGGAAACATTTTAATGGAAATGAGTAGTCAAGGTTTTTCCAATTGGTTAGAGATCAGTTTACATAGTACATCTAACATGATGTTCCATGATGCTTTGAGAAAATATGGATAATGATTGCCGAGAAAATAAAAGAGTGAAAATTGAGCTCGGCTAATGATCTTTCCTTTGCATAGACGCACTTTAACTTGGAAATTGTAGATTATGGAGATTGCAACTCATCTTTCATTTTCAGGAATTGGTCTTCGTCACATGTTTGCAGTAGGCCTTGTTCTGAACTTTCATAATCATGTTTCTTCATAAATCATGTTTGTCACATCATCAGCTTTGGTATTGTATTTGATGCAGGTTTCTAGATCTATAGGTGATGTTTATATGAAACATGCACAGTATAACAGGGAACCACTTGATGCAAAATTCAGATTGCCTGAACCCATGAACATGCCTATATTGAGTGCCAATCCGACTATTGTCTCTCATGCTCTCCAACCAAATGATTCTTTCCTTATATTTGCATCTGATGGTCTATGGGAACACCTGAGTAATGAGAAAGCTGTGGATATTGTCCACAGTCATCAACGGGCAGTAAGATCTTGTCATTATTTTTCAATAATTTGTCGTAGGCAATATTTCCTGCATTGAAATTATCATAATCCTTCTTCTAAATCTTTAGCAGGCATTCGATGGTCCTACAGTCCGTCAACTTCAGTTTTCAATATTAAGAGTCTCCTTGGGAATCATGAACTGCTTTAGGAAGCCATTACATTTTACATTTGTTGTTGACACATGATCACAATTTTGTTTCCATGCTGTTGTATATTATAAACTGCATCTTTCTATCCTTCTGTTGTCACTGCCTAACTAACTGCTGGTCTTGTAGACTTGTACCATTGTCCTTAACACATCTTTGTCCATACTCTCTGAAAAATGATCTATTTATGCTAAAATTTCCCCTCTATTTGCATGTGATTGTGTATTGAATTCTATGTTATTTTAAATCAAGTGCGACTCAAGACTCCAACTAGTTTATTCAGCTAAGATAGCACTACTGGCTAAGCTTTATTGTAGCTTCAGTGTTAAGATCTTTTGTGTCATAACTCGTGGCTCATGAACTTCTGTTGATGCAGGGTATTGCCAAAAGACTAGTTAAGGCTGCCCTTAAAGAAGCAGCAAGAAAACGAGAAACGAGATATTCTGATCTTCGAAAGATTGACAAGAAAGTACGCCGCCATTTTCATGACGACATAACTGTTATTGTCTTATTCCTGAACCATGACCTTATCTCGAGAGGCAACATGCAAGACCCTCCAATCTCCATCCGAAGTGCTTTGGAGCACTGATTAAGTTACAGCATCAAGAAATTTTCCATCCTCCCCTCAGCTAGAGAGCTCCACTGACCTATCGATCAGATTGCATTACTGAGATCAATACTACTTGTTCGAAGAGGCTTCAAATTTGTAACACGTTTTGTTTCCAGGAATGCAAGTATATGACTTCCATTTACTGCAAGATTCAATGTAATACCCATTACCCCAGTATAATGCAATTCAATGCATTTGTTTCTTTAAGTCGTCGTTTGTCTTCTAATGGTATCCATGCATAAAATGTCTGAAAATTTTCCATTTTTATTTCTGTGTCTTTCGAGGTTATAATATAATCTGCTTATGAGAAGGAATCATCGAACTTGACTGCTCCAAATATATGGCTTTTCTAGTCCCTCCATTAGATTTAGATGATCTGGAATCTGGATGATCCTCCGCAAGACCATGCTCCACCACACCAGTATGTTGAATGGCACATTATATTTTTTTTCCTATTAAGCTAACTTTCTTTCTATTCAGTGGTGCGTGTGTGTATATATATATATATATATATATTAACAGGAAAAAGTCAGTCTCAACGAAACATTAAAAGAAAAATTAAAAAAAAAAAGAGACATTCAAGTTTTTTAATTGTGTACAATTAATGTATTAAAATTATTAGAATCACATTTTCGAATTTAATGATTCGTTTTTAAATTTTAGTATTTAGATTTAATTAATCGAGGATTCAACTTCCAACAAAACCTTGCAAAAATTCTTCATTCTCCATAATTCCTCGTATTAAAAAAAAAATATTGAAATGATTAAAATATTTTTAATAAAATAATGTAAAAATGAGATTTATGAAATATATTTTAATAAAAGTGTAACCTAACTTAAAAACACCTTCTTCTTTTTTTTTTTTAAGATAAAAACAAAACATAGAAAGAATGCGAAACCGGAAACTGAGGGAGAGAGCAGGGACGTAATAAGTTGAAAGACAGGTAGTTCGATTGAATTAAAAAAAAAAAAAAAAACAGTTTATTGCTTTATTAGCTTCGTAACCCAATTAAGTAATGAGCCCAAACTAAAACTACAGCTTCCTGGAAAGAGAAAAGATATCTGTTGGCCCAAAGTAGTGATCTATGCACTTACTTTGTGGGCCTGATTAAAGCTTATTTTACAAAGGAAAAACAAAATAAAATAAAATAAAAACATCCTCTTTTTAATTTTTATGCATGTAACTATTAATGGAGTATTCTTTTAAAAAAATTTTTTTTTAAAGAACCTAGTGTTTTAACTTTAAACTTTTTAAAATTTCCAAGATCAAATCCCAAAAATAAATATATATATCTCCAAAAATTTGAATTTAGTACCATCGAACCAAAATACCATTAGTTTGTCTGAATGCTCATATGGCATCATGATGGTCTCTTCTCTTCTTTATAATTTGTTTAATTTGAGGAGATGAAAGAAAAAATTACTATAATCAATTAAATTATTTCATTAATTTAATGATTTAATTTAATTAGTTAAAATAATAATATTACTTCTTATCTCAAACTGAATAGACTGTTAAATTGAAATTTTGATTTAATGATTTAAATTGTAACAATGCTCCAATGGGATGGGAAGAAAAGCAGTTATTCTCCACTTTGTAAGTTGTAACCCACTGACAAAAAGAATCTTATTAACCTCATTTGTCTTTTTAATGATTAGTTACATAAAACACTTAAACTTCATTGCCGGTCCAATTCATTTCTTTGTTTTGAAGTATACAACACAAGGCCCTTCAATTTTTGCAGACAAGGAAAACTACTCAAGATGAATAACTTTTCTTTTGATGTTGGGAAACCATATTTTATGTCTATAAATTAAATTCCTAATTTTATTGCGCAAGAAGAATAACTTATGAGTCGAATAAATGAGACGAGTGGAGAATAAGATTTTTTTTCATTTTCCTTTTCAACCACAGAAGATACATCATAAGATGCTTTGTTCTCCATATAAAGGATTCTGATGTGGGAGAGCAAACTGAAATGCCAAATTACCAAATTATGGTCCTGGCCATTTGAGCGTGCTCCTAGTTATTATCACTCCACATCTTTTTTTTTTTGAAGAAAAGTTCGAGGTGGAGAGAGGTTATAAATTCTAGTCCAAGATCAGGGGATATCACATAATAATACTAGTAAAAACTTAAATTAGTAGAATATAAGGTTACGTATTCACAAGAGTTTACTATTAGTAAGATTGGATTACCAATTTACAATAAACCATAAACAATATCAACGATTTGTTGGATTTAGTGGAAGAAGATCGATTTTTCTTAAACAAGATTTTGAATTCGAGTCTTATAAATAAAAAAATAAGTGTTAGGAAAGTTTTTTTCAAATGGGATTTGACATAACTCGATTTTGATTTAGTCGAGAGTCAATGTGGTTATCAAATAGCAAGGGGATAGTAAAAAAAAAATAAACTAACTATAAACAATAGAATTTTAACTTAAAATTTCACTGATAAAACGTTTTAACCTTACCAATCAAAATCAAACCAACTCTTGAGGAATATTAAGCCCAAGCTGATCTCCATCTAGACGTGACAACCGTAAGATAGGCGTGGTTATAGCTAGTTGGCTACATATCTTCCTTGAAATTTTATTTTTTTTAACTATTTTTACAAATATTCCTACCATGCTATAAGAGAGGACAAGGGAATCCTCGAAAAATTAAACATCCAATCTGAGACGGTATTTCATTCAAGAACAAATGATAAATCACTTGATGCAGACGCGATGGACTCTTTAAAATTTTATTTAATTTCGTTAATATTTTATAAATTTATGATTTTTAAAATTAACTGATTATAACAAAGTTACTGCTCATAATAGCAGCTCCTGTAGAATATTAGTCACAAATTCTTTTTACATGAATAGAAATTTACCCTATAAATACCGGGTCACGTGAAAATTACAGTCGTTGAGGCAATTAAACGACAAAACCTACCGTTCAATCAATTCACCTGCCTTGGTTTCCTCAACTGTCGACTATTCAAAACAGTTGACGTCACTCCATACGCATGCTCGAATACCCATGTGCCTATAAACCCAAAGCGTGTTTGTTTCTTCCCCTCCAAGTCTCCAATTTCCTGGGCTCCCAATAGTTCTGCGCTTAAATTTTCCTCACTATTATATAAACCCAAACTGCAACAAGAACCTCAGCTTATAATTTTTTCCTTGAGGGGTTTCAAAATGTGTCCTTCCGGAAGAAGCTTGCTGTCGGGAACAGCCGCAGCAAACTCGGATTTCAGGTCGGCATTCGACGCCCTGGATGCCGATCGCGACGGTAAGATCAGCAGAGAAGATTTACGGGCGTTTTATGCGGGGTTCTGCAACGGTGGTGACGAGGACGAGATGATCGGAATGATGATTTCGATGGCGGATTCGAACAGGGACGGGTTCGTGCAGTACGAGGAGTTCGAGCGCGTTTTGGGGTATAAGAAGAAGGCGGCGGCCACAGAGGTTATGGAGGATGTGTTCAGGGTCATGGACAAGGACGGCGACGGGCGCTTGAGCCATGAGGATTTGAAGAATTATATGAAATGGGCGGGTTTTTCCGCTTCCGATGAAGATATCAGGGCCATGATTAAATTGGGAGGTGGAGACGAAAACGGTGGCGTTTCTTTTGACGGTTTGCTCAAGATTTTGGCCGTAGCTTGATTGGGAATATATTATTTATTGATGAATAATTGTGTTCGTGCAGAATGCCAACAAAAAATGGGTTTTTTTTGGATGCTATTATATATGTAAGTACTAATGAATGAATTGGCCACGTTCCTTAGTTCTCTGTGGTTTTTTTTTTTTTTTTAAATACACTAATAGAAATTTAAATTTTTAATTTTTATTTAAAATTAAAATATTTTAATTAATAAATACTAACTTAATTAAGCCTCCTCTATAGCTCAGTCGGAGTGCAGAGAGCTGTTTATTTTTTTAAAATAAAAAATGAGAATGGCACTTGTAGTTGTGCAATTAGAAGGCGAATGGAGATGGTATTGCTCTTTTATTATTATTATTATTATTTTCGCGAGAATGGGGGATTAGGGCTGCCGAGCACTTCTATTTTTCAACCTTTGTGGAATCAAAACGACACGGTTTTGGGATTGATTTGTGAATTAGTCCATAATTTTCTCCTGCATGTCATATTAGTCCTGAGATTTATTAGGGGTTGCAACTAAATGAGATCTGTGTTTTAAATGTTTGCAATTGGGTACAACATGCAAATAGTTCGATTTAATTTTGATTTTTCTTTGATAGATTTTTTAAAAATTAATTTCTCATGTTACATCAAAGCTCAAAATTTTTAAATTTTCATTTGAAACATAAGAATTTGTGAGAAATTAATAATTTAGGAAAATCAAAATCGTAGGCAAAAATATTTGAAAGGTTTGGAAAAAAATTAGGTTATGACAATCGGCAACCACATCAATAAGAGCTTGTATACAAATGGAGGAAGGAGGAAGTTTGGAGAGGGATCATACCAGATAAGCTAGACAAAAGACTGTTAAAAAAATATTAAGGTTATTGAGACAATCACAAGATCAATCATGTAATAATATGCATAATCTAGGTTTTGAGTTGATGAGATGAAATATTTGACATAGCCCCATATAATATTACATAACAAAGTCTAATCTAATGTTTAAATAAATAACCTTACATCAAATTAAAGTTTTTAAGTTGATAGAAATCAATTCAATTAAGCTCTCTTGTTAATTGTCCTATTATCTAACTTTTTTAATATCTTGGATTATGGGGTTATACAACACGCCATAACTATTCCCTTCTTAGTCTCCTCCCCATTTATCTTAAGATTCAAATTTGAGATACCCAACATAGATACTTAAGTTCTTAATTATAACTTGTCAAAAAAAAAAGTTTCTTAATTATTAGCTCCCAATAACTAAACCGAACATTTTCTTTTCTTTTAAGAGTTTTGGTAATTTATTTATTTTTTAACCCATAACTTTCTAATTTTTTGTAATAAATAAATTAAATGATTTACTTCTAAAAATTTTACAGTTAAGTTATCAAAATGAAAATGAATCCAAAATTCAGTCCTTTATTAGGAAAAAAAAAAAAAAAGGGTGCTTGACTCCTTTGGGCTACATAATCAAGTGTTTGATGTTGGGCCTTTGGGATTTGGTATTGGACCTATACATATTTTGATGGACATCAGGATATAGCTTACTATCCAAAAAGACCTCGGGGGCTTGGAGAGGTCTTTTACCGCCCGGTCCATGCGTTCAACGATTAACGAATTGATCATGTTCAATTATCAAATAATCAATCCAACGGCCCTAATTTCACGTATTATAAACAGGCCTGTTTCCGTTGGCGGCCTCCTTTTAAAAAACTGAAACTCAAAAATTCCGCCCCGCCAATTCGCCAAACGAGGAGGAGCGAAAGGTAGAGGAGCAATGAAGGAATACCAAACAGCACCACAAAAGGAACACTCGCGATCTTCAGAGATCTCCGGTCGCCGATCCAAAGAGTCTCATTCGAGAAAACCGTCGAAGGTAAAAAGCATTAGACCGTCTTCTTCGCATTCAAAACTCGGTTTCTTGCAGTCTTGCTGAATTTCTTAATTGATTCTTTGCAGATCTTGAAAAAGAGCTTTAATCCTGAGTTTACGAAGGTTTATGATGATGTTCTCTCTCAGATTACTGACGAACCGGTCGATTTCTCTTCAGTTTCTGAGATTTCCGATTCTAACTATACCGGTGACCTTACAGACGTATGATTCACTTAAACTCGTGTTTTTTCATCTTCTCGAGTTTTTATGATGTTTAAGGTGCTAAGTTGTTCTAATTTTGTCATTTTTTTGGAAAATAATTTGAAATTATAGAGTTGATTTCATAGATTTATGATTCACTTAAGTTCTTCATTCCCTCGAGTTTTATGCAATTTTAAGTTGCATAAGTTGTTCCAGTCTTATTAGCATTTTCAAATCTGATTTGACTTGCATTTCTAATCGATATTGATATATATTATCATCATACAGACTTTACTTTTTCTTTTTTGGAGGTAGTTCAAATTTCAGTGAAATACTAGTGAATGCGGTTAGATAATTTCGAATTTATCTTGATTTTATGCGAATTTTTTATACGTATTTCTTATCTGGTTTTTAAAGGAAATTTTTTCCTTGAACCTGTTCTTACAACTATATTGGATTCTCGCTCTTGTTTCTGCTGTAGAACTTTGTTCTGTCCAGTGAACCACCTCTTTTAGCTTTATCAGAAACTTCTACACTCTCCAATATCACTCCGTGTACAAAGTTTTGCGCTGTCAGTGAGGATGGAAAGATTAGTGGTTCAAAGGTTGGCTCAGCAGAGGTGGAGACCATGTCAAAACTTCTTAGTCAAGTGGATCCGAAGTCTATTGATTTGGATTTCCAATCCAGGAAGCTCATAGATGCATTGACTGAGGCTGTTTTACATGAGATTTATGGTAAGCCTGAAGAGCGAGATTTGGTTGCTAAGGTTGTTTCCATGAGAAGATCTGTTGTGTTGGTCTGCTTCTTCCTCTGGATCCTTGTAGTCCTGATGATTTTGCTACTCAGTTCAGAAAGCCACGACACTTTTCATGGACATGTTCCAACTTGAAGGAGTTCATGGAGGAGCGTCCATCCGCTAACAGATCATATGAGAGGTACATTATTTGGATACATCACTTAGTTGCTTTTGGCTTTTCTTCTTTTGAGATCCAGGTGAATTTTTATGATTATGTTTGAATTATGCTAATGAGATTATAAAGTCTTGCTTTGACTAAAAGTTGTTTCACAAAATCATGTTGTTGACTGACAAATAGGATTATGTAGAAGATACCTTTTCCAAACGTAAAAACTAATGTCTCAAACAGTTTTTTCTTAGTTTGTAGTTGTCAGCTGTCAGGATTAATAAGAGTCCGGACTTTGAATGACTTTTGTACATGCTCTAAGGGTAACCTTACTTCCAAACAGCCTTTAGTCCAGAACTTTTAAGTGCAGATTACAAATGCTCTCTAGTTTTTTACTTCTAACCAGCACTTAGTCCTGACCTTTTATGTGCAGATTACAAATTGTTGTTATGGCTCTCTAGCATTTTGAAGGAGAGCCTGAATTGCATCAATTCATCTTAACACAAACCTAACCATATTTGCTGCTGTAGTTAGCCCATTTTCCTCTTAGATTCTGGTAATTCCAATCTTATTTCATAACTTTGAATGTAGACAATCTTTCCTTAAAATGAATCCTATCCTTATTAAATGCTGCTTATGCTGGTAGAGCTCTAATGCCAGGGTTTCAACTGAGTTGACAAGTTAATTAACAATTAGCATGATTTAAGCACTTCAATATTATCCAGCATTTGTTCATGATCCACTTCATTGTGGACTAGGGAGAGATTCACTATTAGACCTGAGGTCCTAAACTAATTAAGAGCAGATTCAGAGCTAACTAGCCTTAAACTTCTGCATAAGATGGCCACATAGGTGAAGGCTTGCAAAGCTCCAATGCCAGGCTTATAACCATCTAGAATCATAGAGTTTTTTTTCTTTTTAATCAGCACTTGAATCGCAGAGTTAACAGTTGGCTAGACTTAAGCGCTTTAGTTTTCCCAGAATGTGTTCATCCACTTCGGCATTTAACTTGAGGCCTACAATGAGATGCATGTGTAGCTTGCATTGATTGAATTAGAACAAAAGTCCCGAATTAGGCTCATGCAGATCTGAAGCTTAAACTTCAGTGTAATTTGGTTGAATTTGCACCATCACTCTTCCTGTTAAGCTTGAACTTCAGTATAAGTTCATCCACTTTGGCATTTTCCCTTTCTGTCTTTGTCTCCTTTTTTGAGGCTAGTTTTCACAGAAAGCTGGTACTCGTGTGGCTGGTAGACTCCTAACCTTAACAACTGGTTTTTGTTTTCCATGCGTTTATTCATCTTGTTTTGACAACTTAACTTCCTGAAATGAATGAAAATGGCTGTTGGATACACAGTTGCTGCAGCATCATTGAATCCAGGAACAACTAGGGGAGGATGTAGTGGTCTATTCAGCTTCATCTGTCCATAACTGCTCGTGTGGTCCCTTGTGGTCAATAATTTAGGGTAATTGATATTGTTTGTTCATTGTTATCCAGAATCAGGTTTATACCTTATATCATGAATAATTAAAGCATTTTCTGGATGAAACCCGTCTTCAAAGAAATAATAAACAAAAGAATTTATTGAAATATAATATTGAATGCAATTGAAGCCGTACAAATGGCCTATGCTGCATTATAGCTAGGATTATCTTAACACAATTTAAGTCACATCCTCGGTGACCTGATTTATTGCTTCGGTAAATACACGGCCTAATCACTAGATATGTTGATGTAACTTGGTAATAATATGGTAGGTAATAGGTATTATTTATATGTATTCATTTTTTAGTTATGCAGTCAACTGTTCAAATCTTCTGTTGTGTGGTTTCTTTACTTATTTGACAATTTCAAAAAGTCAATCTAAAGCAGTAAAAAAGCTGTTCTCTATTAGGTTACCAAAGAATGCTTGAATTAGTTAAGATTGAGGTACCAAGCAATTCATCCAATACAAGTTCAACACGGTCTTTAAACCAGAATCCAAAATCAGTGAATAATCTTTGTATCACTTTATTAAACACCTTTTTCCTTAGATTAGAATCGATAGAATGATCATATATTTTGATTAAAGGACAGTGAATAAGGAGTTCTAGGCTCTTTTAGTGGAATTGTGGAAGTAGTTAAGAATTATGAGATGGAGATTGTCTGTAAAGCACAAAGATCTATACTTTTGATAAATATATAGCTAAAAACTTTTTCTTAGAGAGAACAAGTGGGACTTGATCGGTGCTTTTGTTGTATATACAAAAGAAGTTTGGTTGCTAATGAGTTATGAGTGTTTGTTGACACAATTATTGGATGTTTGCTTTCTATAAATTGTTATTTAATTATGCTAGGACATACTTTAATCCAGCATGGACATTTCTTTTTGTTGTGAAAAGATTTTAGAATGACATTCATTTCCTAAATCCTTGATACTACACAGCTAGAGCTGGTAAATTTGAAGTCCCGTAGTTGCATTGTATGCTTTAGTAGTGACATTTCATTCCATTTGGGCAGCAAATATAAGTGGCATATCTGTAGATGAATATCAAACAACAGCTCTCCTATCCTTAGTTCCTCCTGCAGGTTTCATATATTGAATTTGTAGATGTTGTGCTTTTACTAGGCTAGAAATTTGAATGCAGAAATGCAGGATTATAAAGATACTGTTTTAGATACTGGAGCTACTTGATACTCTTGTAGGCACCATGGTCTTGACCCTTGGGCTAAGTAGAATATGAGTTTACATATCCAGGGTTCTGCCAGATGATGGTCATATTCATATCACGGGGTTGATGCATCATTGATGCGTTGACTTTTAGCCGGTATTAGCACACAGCTAGAATGACTTACAGGGAGAAACAAAAATCTTCCATTATCGCAATTTGCAAGACTTTAAAATCGCATCATTTCTTGAAACACGATCTTCATAGGGTAGCTAACTTTGAGGATGTAATCATCCTAACCTTCCTCTAGAAACATTGCAATGCTAACATGTCGTCTTGCCAGCGAATTTATACCTGTAAAGTTCATATCAAACAAATTCAGGGCCTTTCTCATTCCAACATTAGTGGAGTACTTGCAATCTGTCATATAATTTAATTGGGGAACATTTTACCCTCTCCCTTTCCTTTTCTTTTAGGTTGACTTTTGATTTATATGCAGATGAAGGCTGCTAACTAACACATGTAAAATATTTTTGAGGGGTTGAGAGGGGAAAGAGGAAGCAATTGGTGGACTAAAGCTTGCATATCACTGTAGACGTCCGATAAGTTGACCACTGAAACCTATCATCTCTTAACTATAATACATTCTAGAACTCAATACTCCTAAGACTTTCTTCATGGTTTTACTCTAGAATTAGATAAAGTCCTTGGATTATCATCATTCATCACTGCTTACCTCAGCAATAATTAGGATATACACATGAGTTTACAGGCTGCACCGAAATCTACTTTGAAAGATCTCTTTAATCACTGGCCACCATTCATATATGTTGTACTTGTTTAGTGCTTTCTTCCTTTTTGGTGCTCATTGAGTTATTGTGTCTCACACAAGGGAGGCAAACTCTATAATGCATCATAATGCCCGGTAGTGTCAAAAATTTTCAGAAAACTTAGAATATATATATATATATTCTAAGGTTTCTCTGTTCATTGCCCCAGAATGCATTGACAAATTGGCATACACATGGGCACCATGATCTTTTGGTGGGAATTAGAGTTAGGATTAGGTTCATGATTATGTTAGAAATCCGGCCATAAACTAACCAACTCACGGGTCATTATGACAGGGATTTTGGCATTTGTTTGATTATTTATCTTAAGATAATTGTTCTTGACACTCTCTCCATGTGGGCCGATTTCTTTTCTTGAGAAAATGATTCTCTCTCTTATGCCCACTTTAGTTTTAAACTTCATAAACCATCTGCATCAAATCAATAGGAGAAGCGTCAACATTGTTGATTAACTTTACCTTATCTCTCTATCTCTCTCTCTTCGGATAAATTTGGTGGGCCTCTTTCTCTAAACAATTCATGCGTAGTCATTATATATCGCAATGGGGTATGGATTAGTAGTTTAGAAAAACTCTCGGTAATTCTTTTTCGTTAGTGATGTTGTGGGGATACCTAGGAATATCATTAGCGAAAACTTTCTTGATAAGCATGATAAAATGAGTCATTATTTTTTATAAAAAAAATCGATAGTGCACAAGAGGGAATGGGGACCGGGGACCCCTACCATTGCCAGAAAATGTGGAGCCCAACTGTCTTCACCTCACCGAGACGGAAAACTCCAAAACACGTCCTTAAAACAAATGAATGGCAAAGCCCAATATAGCAAGAAAGTGCCATGCACAACCCACATTGCACATGCATTTTTCTTTTGCTTATTGTCTTTTTGGTATGGCCCTCTAACTTACATAATTTTCTCAATTGTGTCATTGAAGGTAGTTTTTTTGTTAATTAAGCTTCTAAAACGTTATACATAAGAATAAATGGTTTTTAGGTAAATGTAAATAATCATATTCGTCGCATTATTTTGAAATTAAATAAATTTAAATTAATCAGTTTAATAAAGTTAGTTTTGTTGTTAATTAAGCTTCTAAAACTTTATGCATACAAATAAATAATCTCAAGATAAATGTAAATAGTCATATTTATTATATTATTTTAAAATTTTATTTAAATTAATCAGTTTAATAAGTACAACCAAAATTTGATCTAAATAATGGACCGAGTTATGATATTAGCCCAGTAATTGTTAGCATGCAGTGCACCTAATGTCTCTGTGTTCTCTTCGAATCTATTTGTTCTCATGTGAGTAGCTTAAGGGTGTAATGATAACGAAACCAACTTCGAGGATGAAATTGAGAAGGCTCTGCGAGTTTGAGGTCCTATTTATTGTTTATTATTCCTGTCTTTTTCTTTTAGCCTATCATCACCTCCAATAATCATTGCACGGAGCTGTTTAAAATGGGACCCATCACTCTTGTCAATTAGTGGAAGACAACACCTCAAACCCCTCCAATCATTTTTCGACACGTCATTAATCATTGTCCTTTGGTTATTTTTTTTTTATTTTTATTTCTTTTTTTCTTGCATCAGGGGAGCCTGGACCTGTGCACAGGCCGTGCTTGTTTATCAGGGTGAATTCAGCGAATATTTCAATTTTCCTTTCTTTATTCCAGTTTTATTATCAAAATACTCAAGTTCGTATTCGTATAAGTAAAGAAAACTATAAAATCCATTTCTTAAAAGAAAAAAAGACCTAAGAATTGTCAAATGTAAGTTAGTTGATTGTTGAAAATAAAAATACTTCTGTATTACATTAGCAGTAGTCTTCTTGGGTTAGTTGTATTCGTTGGTCAACACAAATTGCTTCAATTTTCTCTTACTAATTTCTCAAATTCTTAAATATTTATAAATTTTTAGTAACGTATTTTGCAAAATAAAAATATATTATATATTTTAAATTATTTAAAATTATATAATTTAAATTATTAAATAAAAAATTTTAAAATATTATATAATAATATAATAAATTTAAAAAAATTAAATTTTATATTATATATTTATAATTGTAATTAAACGTGATAATATTTAATTGGTAAAATTTTCAAAATAAAGAACAGTCGATTATGTAATTTTCAAGAAAAATTAAGAGTAGGAGTAGGGTTTGAAACAGAATCGTGAAGGCCTTATTATCCCGCCCCCTACCCAGACCCGAACCCACCAGCACCCAAAACGCGCACCCATTTAAAGCAAACCCTCGAACGCCAAAAACAATAAATACGGCCCCCTCTTTTCATTCCACTTCCCCTTTATATAATCCCCTCCGTTTCTCTCTCTCCCTCCTTCCCTCGTCAGCAAACAACATTTATTGGACACCTCACCAACTCCGTCCCGTTCATCTCCCCCGTTTCTATTTCCCCCGCATCTCCTTAATAATCAGGTAATCATCTTTAACTTAAGGAAATTATTTTCAGTTTTTAGTTCTTAATTACTTGATTTAGATGCTTAATTGTTTGATTACGGTTTTGATCATCGGAAAAAAAAAATTTCAGGTTGATTCCGGTCGTAATTCACCGAATCGTACGGTGGAAAAAGCGAATAAATTACGGGTTATTGATTCATGGCGTCTGTGATTTCCAATCCTGTGGGGAACATGAATTCTGATCGGATCAAAAGGAAAAAGAAGAGGAAATCGTTGATCAAAGAGAGTCAGCAGAACCAGAGCCAGAACTGGAAGTCAGAGGCCCAGCAGCAGATTTATTCTTCGAAGCTCATCCAGGCTTTGAGTCAGGTTAGCCTCAATAGTCCTTCCCCTTCTGCTCCGCGCGGCGGCCGTGCTGTTCGTGAAGCTGCTGATAGAGTGCTTGCTGTGGCGGCCAAGGGAAGGACGAGGTGGAGCAGAGCCATTTTGACGAGTCGGATCAAGCTGAAGTTCAGGAAGCGGAAGAGAGCAAGAGCGTCGCCGGCGGTCACGGCGGCTTTGGTGACGGGGAGTAACAGGGCGAAGAAGTCGCGAGTGAGTATATTGAGGCTGAAATCCAAGAGTCTACCTGCTGTACAGCGGAAAGTGAAGGTTCTAGGTGGACTGGTACCCGGTTGTCGAAAACAACCGTTGCCGGTTATTCTTGAGGAAGCGACTGATTACATAGCCGCACTTGAGATGCAGGTCAGAGCCATGAGCGCCTTGGCTGAGTTACTCTCCGGCGGCTCCGCCGGTAGCTCTAGCTCAGCGCCACCGCCATCTAGTTAGTTATACATTCATCCTTAAATGCCATGTATCATCTCCATCCCCTTTTCATTTTTTTTCTCAGTAATCTCCTGTTAATTACATGTTTTTATTTCTATTCTATCTTCAAGTAATTCCAATTTCAATCTCACATTTCCATTTTATTTCTTGCCTTTTAAATCCCTTTACAAATTACACTAAAATATGTATACTTTCTCTTGAATTATTATCCAATAAAAACATGTAAATGTTTTCTCATGTAAAAGGGCTTTTGGATCTTGATTTTTTTTTTTTAATTACATTAGAATTATCATCTTTTTTAAGTAATTGATAAGAGTTGGTTGGTTGCTAGGTTTCATTGAAAATAAGAAATTTGGAGAAAAACTATTTATTTCTTTTGTAATCTCTTTCTTTCTCTCTCTTTTTTTTTTTTGAGTTTTTGAATTCTATTTTGGGAATTTCTTGGGATCGTCTCCATGAAAATACCAAGAACAGAGGGAGAATTTTGGAGTCAATTTGTTTAAAATCTAAGTTAAATATTGGAAAATTTATGGGTGAAATTCTTGTCTACACATTAATAATATCAAGGACTCATGTCCTTGCAAGTAGAGGACAAAGACCCCTAAACAGGGTCACTCTCAGGGATGTAGCTACCCAAGGCACACGAGTGCTGAGGAAGATTGATCACTTTCAATATGGACGGAGTTTTGGGGAGAGGAAGGAGGAACAGAAACGACACCATTGATGATTAAGCTCAAGGACCACTGTTTTTTTGCTTTTACTTTTCTTATTTTTGCATCATTTTACAAAGTGGGTCGTTTTGATTTTCGAAAGAAGCAGAGAAAAAAAAAGCAGAGCACATGGGGGGCCTTCATTTTTGGTCAGGCGAAGGGAACACAAACAAACACAGGAACAGTGCTACACATGCACCCATGTGCCTTATTTAAGCTTCTCTCTTTTTCAACAACCCGTTTTTCAGTTTTTCTTTCACTTTTCACTTTGACTAACACAGAATGCAGGGTGCAATTAAAGAGATGAGTATGCAGAATTGAGACGAAAGCAGACACTTTTTGGGCTGTCAACGTCGAGAAAACAGTTGATTTGGTGTCTCCTTGAACTTTTATCGAACGGTTATCAGGCCTAATTGCGTAACCACTCAAACGTTTCCATGTCAATGCAACTCGTGTCAACCCAATCTTTAATCCACATGTTACCATCACTCTTTTTTTCTCAAAAACCATACAAAATGGTATGGAATTTCTCAGAAGTGAGTGGTTTTGTCTTCCTTATTGTGTGAAAGAAAAGAAGATATTTGTGGTTTGAGGAGGAGATTTCCCCATTTTCTTTCCTATTTCAGCCTAATCCTAACCCCATAACGAGTTTTTTATTATATTCGAAAAAGCTCTCCAAGTTGAATAATTGAAAATGTTTTGGCAGATAATGATTTGTATATTTTTTTATTTAATTTATTTTATAATATATTTATTAAAAAAAATTATTATTAAATTTAAAATAAATATGAAAAAAATTAAAATTATAAATTTTAATAATTAAATTGATAAATATTAATAAATATATTCAACTAAAAATATATAAATTATTATTTTTATTTATGTGAACAAATCCACACCCACCACAATATTCTTCCTAAACCATTTTTGGTGCTTAATCATAATCATACCCACCTTACTAATTTGTTTTACAAAATTTAAGTATAATTTCCTAATTTCATTCTTATAAGAGAGATTACTTTTGGTTTTCTTTTCTTTTAAAAATCCGGTGTGCTTTCAGCTAACATGATCTGATCATTCATGTTATCTTGAATGCTTGATTTGATGGATGTCCAAAGCAATCACTTAAGCAAGTGGGTTAAAAGCTAAGTTTCTATGTTTACTGTCAATTTCATCAACTCCAAAAACAAACCATTATTTGATTTAAAACCTACACCACCACATAATTATCGAATATGTATTACATGATATCCAAAAGTTTAAATATCTTGCTATAAAAATGCTCCAAAAAAATCTTGTTAAAAAAATTTTTAAATTATACATAAAACTATTACTAAATTATAGATAAAAGAAGCTTCTTTATTTGTATGATTAAGATTTGAAACCACATTTTTCCTTATAATAGTTTTAATCAATTGATTTGCTTCATAAAAAGAAAAAAAAGTTAATCTTTGGTTTGCCTTATTAAGCTTTTCAATAAATGAAAAATTAACATGATCAGTGTTTAGCGTGAGAGGAACCATTAATTTCATTGAAGCTTATTCCAATCTAAACAGTAGATTGTTGCACTTGTAGCTGTTGATGCTCAAGATAGAATTTTGTGCTTTGCTAAACCAAAAGGCCTCTCCAATACCGAGAGATATTGCGCGCCCTGAAGTGGGGTTTAGAGTCTGTTGTACAAGATTGTGTTGTTTAAAAGCTTGTGAATAGTCTGTGTGAGTTTTGACAGTTTGATTTCATAGGTAACTCCTTGTAGCAGCAACGTTTATAGTGCTTCTAAGTTTCTATTGGACAAATAAAATTAACATTTTATATAAGAAAAAAAAAAAAACATGAATCAGTGTTTGACGAATATGGGTGAGACTTGAAACTTTAAGAAGAATGTTTTTGAAGACTGTTTTCTTAATAATGAAACAAACCCATTAGCAGCAGTTGTCCTTTCTTTAACATGAAGAGATAGATAACTTGAGGAGGTAGGAAGATCTTTGTCCCCTTTTATCTTTGAATAAAATCCTGGATCATGTGTGTTATTTACTACTATTAACTTAGAGACAAAGATTCATAGTCCCATTAATCTTATGTTTGGATCAATAGAAAAATCATAAAGATCAAAAAAGAGCAGAAGAAAATGATTAGTGACATGTGACATGTCATGGCAGAGTCCAACACCTAGATATTGCACTATGCTTTTTTATTGCCAAGTACTAAGCAACAAGTCATCTACCCTTCTCTTTGCCGTGGAGTTTGTTGTTGTTCTGCCTCATTTAAAAAAAAATTAAAAAAAGATTTCTACCATTCTTTTAGAGAAATTTTTTTAATATTTATAGGATTGCAACCATGTGCCTACGACAAAATACCAAAGAAAAAGAAAGTGACATGCATTAAAAAATTCCATAATTTTTAACCAAAAGTATTCTAAACCCACATGGATGGGGTCATGCCTCGTCCATTAAACTCCAAGAAACAAAAAAGTAAAAGAGAACAATAGAGAAAGAGGGTTGCGCTGTGGCCTTGTGGGCGGATTGGAAAAGCCCTATTTGGTCACCTCCACCGATTGGAGGGTTCATCTTAAAGCAATTGCCCACCTCAATTTTCATGTTTCTTTTCCTTTTAGATTGAGTTTTGGAGGCATTCATACCTAATTTGTATATTGTCAAATGTCAGATCAAGTTTCCATTTTTTAGTCCAATTAAAAGACAAGCAATCACATGTAATGATTTTTTGTTTTGAGAAATTACATTTCTATAAAAATTTCCCAAAAATTATTAAATCTTAGTCAATTCATATAGTAGTTAAGGTAATTGATTGATAGGATCCACAAATCCTTTCCTTCCTTTTTTTTCTTTTAATTATTTTGGATCTCTCATGTCTCTTTATATCCACTTCAATTTATTGTATGACTTATATTTTTAAAAAAATTATTTTATAATTTAAATTATATAATATAAATTATTAAATAAAAGATATTTTTTAATATTAAAAAATTATTTTTTAATAAAATTTTAAATTATACATTTTAATAAAATTCGATATTATCTTAATTGTACAACATTTTTATATACTTAAACCTTTTACTTTTACACTTTCACACTTTCACCTGAAGAATACTACCCTCACTTTTAATTTTAATGCATAGTTGTGTGGTCTTTCTATTTTTTTCTTTAACAGAAACTGTAATAAGGTAACATTTTAGAATTTATATTCAGGAGGTGCATATCCTTAATTGGTATCCTTCAAAAGTTCCACAATATTTATTTGCAGTGCTGAGTGTACAGTTTTGTAGGGTAGCATGTGACAATGATACATTACCCCTCACTTTTTTAGTTATGGACTTCAAATATTAGATTTAGTAGTTTCATTTAATTTAGGACTATAAGATTTTACGTTTCAGTTTTGCCCTTTTTTTCAGAGAAAGATAGGAAAAGCTTTAATCAGGGTTTGGCAAACTAATTGCAAACTTAATTATTCCTCTTTCTCCTTTTGTCGGTTGTTGAAAAATAAGAGTTTTTTTTTTTTTCTCAATTTGTTTTTGAGGTGTGACATTACTAATTAAGATTAATTAGGTGTAGTGCTTATATTATAATACAAAGGATTATTTTAAAAATTCAAAGATTCCCATATTAATCCAAGTGGGCAGACATTTTCACATGTTAGCAGCTGATTAGGGAAGGCAAACTATTGTCCTCGAAACCACTTTACTTTTTTTATCCACTCTCATGGTATTTCTGGGCCTCAACTTCTGCATATCATGAGACACTTTTTTTTTTTTTAATAAATTTTAACTTTATATCAATTTAATAGATTTAAAAAAATTGATTTTTTAAAATACTAATACAAAACCTAAATTCTGAACATAGATTACGGAATAATAGTACTGAATTAATCCAACCTCGAGATTTGAAATTACTTT